TTTTTTTTTTTTTTTTTTTTATTTCTCCTTCAAAACTCGGAGGGAATCTATGCTAATCATTTAAAACCCGTGGGTCTTTCATTGAGACGAGCCAGCCCTGCTTTCTCTAACGCTTAGTTCGGTATCTCCGAATGCATATTCATTCCCTCGCTCAGTCTCTCGGTGCGTTTTACCGCCCGTCTCTTTGCTCTAATTTCAATAGTTTTGGGAGGGGGGAAGAAAATCAGATCTTGGGACATTTAGGGTATTCATTAACCTAGTGAAGAGGAACAGAGGCATTATTACTCACATAGAAGGCACCCTGCCCCCATGTCTATCTAAGGGTTCATTGTAAAAGGATTAAAAGTTAAAGACCTTCATCTTATGATTCTTTCATTTAATCTTCGTGGCGCCTGAAAGACATGCTGGATGGATGATCACATTTAAAATATTCCTAATGTCGGCTACCTTAGGACTCCAGGCAGGGCAAACAAACGTAATTTATTTCCAGAAGAAAGGGTATATTGAGATGTTTAAGTTTATGAACCACCATTACCATGTATATTTGTTAGGTTCTGACAAATACCCAAATAACATTAAAATCAGCCATTCATCACATATGAATTTATGCAAAACCTTGTATGCCTGGGGCCAATATTTTTTTAGACAGAGTTTCACTTGCAAAAAAAAAAAAGTTTATTTAAAAAAAAAAAGCAAGAGTTTTTCATGACTGGTAAACACGAGAATTATGTGAACAGAAACTATTTCATGCTGGGATGGCAGCCAGGGACTCGGGAATGTCAACAAAAGTTCTCCGAAGGTTGAAAATGTCACTGGATTACAATACAAGGTCCTTTGCCCCATTAGCAAACTTTGCTAAAGTAATATTCCCACTACTTAGCGAGGGGGCTCACCCAGTGATTTATCTGTCTGTGATCCCAGCAATGGGGCAGACAGGGACTTCATCTGGAAACCACCTCTGACTGCTGGCTTCAAGATTTAAAATTTTATATGCATGCAGAGCTGAGTGTGTACTGGTGACTGTTATGTGAGTGTGAAAGAAGTGTGCTCTTAATGTAGTCTAAATATTTATCACCAGATCTGTCTTAATATTAATCCAAGGGTCATTGTCATCAGAGACTCATGTGTTACATACATGCCTTCTCAACCAGTAACACCCTGTTAATAAATTTATGAGAATATTTTGGGTTTTAAAAAATTAAGTTTCACCATTCATAAGGCCCATGATTTTTATTTTTTTTTTTTAATAAATAGCTAAATTTTGTCAGCTGGTAGATCAAAAGTAAACTAGTAGTCTTCGCTGTTGTTTCTGGTCAGGTCCACTTTCTGGTCCTCCTGCCCTAGTGTTGAAATGTTTGGCTTGTAGTGGAAGTGTTTCAAGCCAAACAAATAAAATATCTTTCTGATGAATGTTTCTATGCAAATCTATTTAATATTAGATTTTGTAATATGTTTTTATAGCAAAATTGAATTATAGCTCTTTTAAATAAAAATAAGTTCATAACATAGCCAGTTTTTCTTTGCTGATCGTTGTAGTGGCATCATAAGACTGCACAAAGACCACTGTGGGGAAGGATTAAGGGAAAAGTTTAAAGTTTGCTTTTAGATACTCTGCAGTTTCTTATTTTGCAATTTTAGTGTCTTAAAGCATAATAATGGGAATTTTAATTCATTTCTGTGTCTGCCATAGGCCCAGCTGAGTCATTTAACCTGTGTGCTGCAGGTGCTTGTGAGGAGCACAGGACTTCATCTTCTTTGCCACTGTAGCCAGTCGTTATCAGAATAATCTGTTCTCTCACACCTCGTGTTTATTCAAAATCTAATAAAGTTTACGCATGGTGGTCAAGGGAGGTTCCTTTATGACATTGCATTTTGTTTCTAGGCCATTGTCTTTGTCAGTGCAGAGCAGTATTTTATGTATCATTCTCCAATGCTTTCTACTTCTGATTATCAGGGGAAAACCTGACTGTTAACCAAAGTCGTGATGATGGCTAATTTAAAAGTGCTAAGACGAACACAGTCAATAAAAGCAGAAAAAAGTATACTAGAGTAACTTGTCCAAATTAACTAATGCAAAATTAGTTCAGATCGTGTGAAGAAAATGAACCAATTAGGAAACATTACACATTAAAGTGTTGACTTCTCACATATACATACTTAATGGAAAAATCTATTTGATTCCTTTTGTCATTTTCAAAATACCACCACAAAGATGAATTTTTGAGATTGCATGACGGCACCGTGGAGTCATCACCAAAATAACCACAGCTAGAAATTAGAGCAGTAGTATTTGGGTAAATACTGGACAAGTTTTTCTTTTTCCATAGTTTTAATAGAGAAATAATCTTAATTTAGTTACATCAACATCTTGAAAAAAATTCCCAGCAGTTAAATGTAATCTGCACCACATTGGCTGGATCTTGGACGCATTAAAGAGAAGATATTCCAGCCTGGAGATTTGCCAGGAATCTTCCTTGAAAGCTGAAATAAATATAATGACGTCATCATATAATGTAACATCATAGCTTTCAAGGTGAGCCAAACCAAAGGTATGCTGGCAGGGGAATGTTGCCACCTGGTAGACCCATGCTAGGAATAGATATGACACTCTCATCCAGCGGGGAGGAGAGCAGCCACACTCCCCTGGAGTGCCCACAAGGATCCTGCAGTCTCTCTGTGCCTGCAGGTCCCGTGGGAGCCTTGCTGCACGTGGGAGCTGCAGGATCTGTGTCAATGCTCCCTTTTAAGAGAGCAGCTCCAGCAAATTTGAAGAGACCTTTTCATTCCCTCTTCCCTGCTCCCAGACCAAGCAAGAAGCTCCAATGGTTAAGAGGAAGGGAATGAATACGTTCACTTGAAACAACTGTTGGAATGGTTCAGACGGGAACAGAAATATTCAGCAATCAACATTAAAGACTCTAAATCCTTGGAGGTGTTATTGCAGGATCAGCAGCTTACAGCCCTCTTTGTGAATCCTGGGTACCAGTGTATTACTGCTAAGTCCCCTGCAGCCTGTTCCCTGAGGGGAAAGCAGCTGCCCTGTGTGATGTGCTTCTGAAGAGTCTGGGAGAAAAGCTGCTGCAGAAAAATCTGCGCGGGTGTAACGTCACAGTGAGTCACTTTCCCTGCTGAACTGTGGGACAGGAGTGCAGAGATGCCACAATTTAGCCTCTGACTCTGTTGGTGGATGGCATAGATGGAAACTGGCTGAGAGCTGATGCTGTGGGAGCTCACTAATTGTAGTTCTGCCCTCTTTGGGTTATATTCATGGGCCTTCGAGCATCCTTCTGAGTCGGCACTCCATGCCAGACCAACCTGTGCATGCTCTGAGCTCCTGTCAGCCTGGAGATGTCCTGGAAAGCTTTGGAGCCATCCCTGTGGGGGCCTCTGGCTCTGTGTGGGTGCTCCCGTCCCAGAGCCCAGCTGAAGGCAGTGGCACCCACTGAAGGTGCACAGATCCTGGCACTGACTGGTCTGGGTCTGCTCTTCACCCAGGACAGACATCATCCAGCACTGAGGTCTCTCCCGTGGAGAATCCCAGAGTAGTCACTGCATCAGATAATCATAACAAGAGTTTGAAAATAGGTTTCACACTCCCTCCTCGTTGTTTTCTTTCCCTCATGAGAGGGGGAGTGGCAAGTCTCCCATCACAAAGAACGTTACTCAGAACCAGAACAGATCTTAGGCACAACACTAAAAACCTGTATGCAATGGA